ACAGCCAGACTCGCGAGCCCCGTTCTATCGCGTGCTCCGTCGCGTGCGCTCTCGTGTCCGCTGCCTCGCGGACCAGTTCCACGGATTGGGCGCGGGCTATCTGGTAGTGGCGTTGAATGCGCATCCTCCACCGACGAGCGTCTGCGTCCTGATGCGAAGTGTTTCCTACGGCTAGCGTCGCTTCCAACGTGGACCGTGGATCCCAGCCGTGCACAAGGAAAAACGGGGTCTCGTTCCTCGTTCGATCGTGAGCTGTGTTAAGCGCGTACGTAAGTCGTTCCGCGTATTGGTCCCAGTCGCGTTGACCTATATCGGCAATGTACATCTTGATGGCCCTCGTAATGGTGTGCACCATGCGTTCTGCCGCTCCGTTCGCTTGCGGACGGTACGCAAGCGTCGCGCGTTGCCGCTGGCCCATCAGCTTGTTGAAGGCCCTGAAAAAATTCCGACATGAAACCGGGCTCGCGGTCGTGACGAATCGCTTCGCTGGCGCCAAATCGTCTGAAGACAGCTTCCTCGTACGATTCCGCGATGGTTTGGGCCGTTCGAGACGCGCTTGCCTTCGCGATCACAAAACCTGTGAAGGGGTCTACCCAGACCAGGAGCTCCGTATTGCCATTGTGCGATGCCGGTAGTGACGGGATATGGTCCATCGCCACGACTTGGAACGGGTATGTCGCGACTATGTTGCCGGCGACTCTCCCCGGATCGTGGGACGGCCTTTTCCCGGCTCACAGTCGACGCATTCCCCAACGTGACGCTGCACGCTCTTGAACAACCCGGGCCAATGAAAATGTCGTCGTATCCGCTGATACGTCCTGCCGATATCCTGATGTCCGCCTTCCAAACTCGCGTGGTAGTGGTGCAATACGTCTTCTCGGAGAGTCTCTGGAACGACAAGCTTCATGATCGTATCCCGATTCTCGGCGGCCTCGCTCCCACGTACGTGGTAGTACAGTAAACCGCTCTCCTCGACCTCGTACTGCTCCGCTAACTTGGCGCAGTTCTTCGCTTCGTGTCTGAACAATCCGCTGATGTCTCCGTCTAAGCACTTCTTGAGGTTGGCGATCCAAGCCCCTCTTCCTGCGCAGTGCAGACTCGATCAAGACGGAGTCGTTGTATCACTTCCGGTGATTTCTTCGGCGCTGGACTCGGCGCGTCCCGTGAGCGCGTGATCACGGGACACACCTTTTTCGTCCCGTGTCCTACGTCATCTGGATCGTGCGTCTTAACTTCCAAAACGGGGTCATCTAGACCGAGCGTGTCAGCCTTCAAAACGTGATCGTCGCCTTCCGCATCGTGCGTCGTCGGGCGCACCACTTCTCCCAACCGGTTCAGGGTCCTCAGATCTTCCAATTCTCCCACGTTGTAGGAATTCTTGTCTTGTTGGCGCTGGAGAGCTTGCCCAGCCAACATATCTGCGCTCGCGTTCCAGTCCCGTCGGATGTGGAGGAACTCGTGCTGGGGCCATCCTCGTAGAGCGTTCCATGCCTGCGCTCTCAACAGCTTCAACCCGGGCGACTTACAATCCATCTCACCCCGCATCTGGCGTATCACCAGATTGGAATCTCCACAGCCGATCAGCCGCGCAACGTCGACGTCGTCCAACAGCGAGATACCGAGTAGCATGCCTCGGTATTCGGCCTCGTTCACGGTGAGCCCTTCCACGTGTCCCAATGCAGCTCGAACAACGTCCCAGTTCGGTAGTTTCCATATTACGGCGCTGAATGCTCCTCC